ATAATTATGCATACAATGGACTCAGGACAAGGTGCGTTTCTATCAGTCTTCCTACCATTATGACTAAGTTCCGAAACCAAGGTCAAACAGTTTCCTCTTTAAAGTCTATCTCATCCAGCGTGTATTGCAGTTTTAATCTCGCCTAGGTGACTAGATGCTTAGTTAGGAATTTCCGAAAGTCTCGAAAGCTACTCATAAGGAATTTAAGTATGTTCTAAGATTAAAAGGGCAAACACATGTTTTTCGCTTATAAGTAGACTTTCGAGACTACCAATAGATCATATGAGGTGCATTCAGTCTCCTTCGTCCAAGGTGATAAGGGGACAGGAAGTTGAATTTCCCCACAATGCTATGTGTAGGCCTTACGTTTCAATTCAATTTCACATAGCCTTGCATCCCACAATTTAGTCTCACCCAGGCAAGAGTGGCCTGAAGTTTCTACCTCGCTTGAACTGGTCTCCTCAGCACCATCAGTGGGACTCGAACCATGACAATGCAGCGTATAATATAGACACGTTAACCACTACGCCACATTGCCACGCGTGCATTTGGGCCACAGAGCAGATATGAATTTAACGGAAGGCTAGGCATTTTCCCAATTCCCATTTTGTGTTGGGGTTGTCGATAAAGTAACTTTGTATTTGCAACTGGAATCGACTATACTACTTATCCTCCGTTTATAAGTAGATTTTCGAGACAACCAGTAGATCACATATATGAGATATTTTAAAGAATTACTGATGGTTCCAAAAGGTGTATAATTGCATCGGGTTGACCAGTTGGCTTGAACGATCCATCTGCAATGGAGATAATGATAATTTCATTCAATAATTACTATTGGTAGTTACAATAACGGGCAACCGGTATCTTCGGATGCTCTTATTTTGGCGTGTGTCCGTCATTCATATTTTCACGCGATACCGGCTCCGATTGAATGTAGACTCGTTTAGGCTCAATGAAACTAAGCTGATGGGTGAAGGTTGGAGGCTCACGACATTTCACAATTTGCCAATTACATACCGAATTGCTGATTTGCTGCCTCTTGTCTGTGCCTCTGGCGTACTGACAACTTTTGACCAATCACATGTGCGGCCTCACGGTGGCGGTACATTTGTAGCCGTGATAAAAGGTGCTGTCACACTTTGAGCGTATACTTCCAGGCTGACTTATCTTCGTCCAACCTCTGCGATGTGCAAAGCCTCAATCGACTCTGGTTTTGTCTCACCTTGGACAGCCTCGTAAGAACACCATCAGGGACGTGAAAGCGTGCCCAGCTTCCTGCACTTGTTGCCCCCATTTAAGTAGTGGATTCGGCCTTTTGTAGTAGTGTCAGCCTGTGTTAAATGGATACAGAAAAGCCTTGAACTCTACTACCTGATTGTGATCTTTATACGCCCAGCTCCAGTCAATCGAAAAAATGTCTGCTTTCTTCGACAGGATGGAACTTGTGTACGGACTCCTACTTGTCTTCTGCAGCTCTTTGCTGTTTGCTCAGGTCACAGGTTCGGACGGTGAGTGCTGCTAACCTCTTTTGCCCTGACCAAATGTACTAGTCTTCTTCCCTTAACACAGATTTGTTTTGCAACTATCCAGAGACCATATGGTTTCGATTCGTCTTACTTTTGACCCGGTAGGTGCGAAACAGCTCTGTTGCCAACCCCAAAGTACAGTCTTCGTCTCAACCAATCGTGGGCAGACTGGGTGCCGATGGATACACAGGATATTTGTTGTGAAATGACTTTAAGATTCGAAGGTGAAGTTGGCTCACAAGAAACCGAGGAAAGAAAGCATTGGAGGAGTGAAGACTGTAAGATTGTGCCAATAACTCCTCGGCTTACTGTCCTACAAACCCCGTTTGTCCATTCCAGATATATAAAAAAACCCATAAATAGTTAATCGAGAAGCCGAGGACATTTCAGCACACTCCAGCAGTTTTCACTTTATGGCGATGCTCGTTTGTTTTCCGGTGATACCAATTCACGGATTACGTCCAAACTACTTTGTCTTTTAGCGTGAAAAGAAACGTATCAAGAAGTTGAGTAGCTTCGGTCTCTTCCACCATCAGATTGGTAGGCCTCACAGGGTTGCTGAATCTGTGCTTGGCCCTACCTACCAAAACTGAGTGTCAGTCCAGAGCGACAGAGTGTATGGGAATTTAAAGGCAGTGTTGAGGAGACAAACTTGCATTTGCCGTCGCACTCGACATTACTGTGCTACGAATAAGTAGTCTCCGACATTATCAGTACCTACCATTCAGGTTCTGAGTTGAGACTCGATATTATTTGCCCAATCAGCAATCCAATTAAAAATAGCAGATATGAAAACCAAGATGGTGTTGCCCCTGGTATGGTCGTAGACTGCTTTCGATTTATAGAAGTGGGATGGCCTCGTTTTCGCAAATTGGTCTTGTTGTCAGGGCGACGTAGTAGAACGCACCTAAAATGCCGGCGAAACGTCTGAGAATGTACCAAGTCCACAGTCTGATGCTGGGATTTACGGCAACCACTATGGCAGAGGACTTCGGACAAGGTGCGTTCTACTAAGTCGCCCTGACAACAAGACCAAGT